GGATCGAACCGAGGTCCCTATGCTTTGCCAAGCTTGTTTCAAGTAGGTGCTTTAGACCACTGAGCCATCTCTCCAGCCCAGGGCACTTTTTTTCTTTTTAAAAATTTTTACAGTTTTAAAAAACTGTAATCTTAGCACTCAGAAGGCTGAGGCAGGAGGATTGCTGCAAGACTGAGAACAGCCTGGACTACAAAGTGAGTTCAAGGCCAGCCTGAACTACATAGTAAAAACCTATCTCAAACTTCCCTTTCCCCTGGGGGGGGGGGGAATATTAGGAAGAGTAAAATGAGTGTCTCCTAATTTGAACATGTGGGGTACAATGAATGTATCCTAACTTGAACATACAAGGAAGGACCTGAAAATTCCCTTTCTAACGTCCTCTGAGACTTTGATTACATTTATTTGTACCTTGTTCTATCCTCCAACTTGGATATTTTTTGATTCTTAATGGTATCTCATATGTCTATCCAGAGTTCTCTGTTTCTTCTTGAGTCTGTTATGACTGTTTCTTTCTAGAAAGCTTTCCATTCTATCTAGGTTCTGTAATTTATTGCCATTCAATAGTTTATACTATTCCCTTATATATTGCCTTTTTATTTTTGTAACATTGCTGATATTGTCCCTTCCATAATTCTGTATTTTAGTTTTGTCTTTTTGAGACAGGATTTTGTTATTCAGTTCATGCTGTCTCTTTATAGCCCAGGATGCCCTCAAACTCACATTGATCCTACTTCAGCCCCTAAAGTGCTGGGATTATAGGCATGTGCCACCACATTTAGCCGATTCCTTATTTTATTTTACTTTATTTATTTATTTATTTTGGCTGGCTCAGGCTGCCTTAAGGATGAGTCTGCTAAGGCAGGTGGAGATGGGGGTCCAACTGTGGTATCCTGCGCCTGACTGTGTTTGCATGAGCAGGCGCTTAAACAACTGAGCTAACCAGCAGGCCCCCTGATTCCTTATTTTAGTAATTTAAATTTTCTATGTCTAATTCATTTTTAATTCTGTTATGGTTTGTGTTTAGATGTGCCCCTCAAAGCCTCATGCATTCTTCGGGCGGGCTTCTAGAGGTTTTGATTGATCCATGGTATAATACTGGGATTATAGGCATGAGTGCTATACTCACTCTGGGGCAGGTAGCTTGCATAAAATGTAAGTGAGGAAAAGAGGTTTGCTTTCAGCTGCTTCTCTTTTCTCTCTTGTTGCTTTTGCTGTTTTCTGCAGTTATGAACTGTGCAAGTCTGTCTTGGAGCCAGCTGAGTATGGACTGAAACCTCTACCAACTGAGTTAAATAACCCTTTCCTTCCTTAATTCTTGGCACTGGGTATTTTATCTTAGCAATGAGAGAAAGTAACAAAGGCACAGCTGCTCCTGGTTGAGGGCTGTCCACATCTAAGGCAGGAAGACTGTAGCCGCAAAGAAGACGAAAATATCTCTGGAGTCCATCAGCTCTAGGCTCCAACTTGTTATGAAAAGTGGAAAATACGTGCTGGGGTACAAGCAGACGCTGATGATGATCAGACAGGGCAAAGCGAAATTGGTCATCCTTGCCAACAACTGCCCACCCTGAGGAAATCTGAACTAGAGTACGAGGCCATGTCGGCCAGAACTGGTGTCCACCACCACAGCGGCAATAATAGCGAACTGGGCACAGCATGTGGAAAATACTACAGAGTACGCATGCTGGCAATCACTGACCCAGGTGATTCTCATACCATTAGAAGCCTGCCAGAGGGGGCCGGGGAGATGGCTCAGTGGAATAAGTGCTTCCCTGGCAAGCACAAGGGCCTGAGTTCAATCCCCGGTTCTGCCAAAAAAAAAAAAAAAAAAAGAAAGAAAAGAAAAGAAAAGAAGCCTGCCAGAGCAGGTCAGTGAAAAATAAACCAAGCAGAATCTTTCATTAATAAAACCTGCCTGGTAAAGTAAAACCCTATTGGCTCAGTGGAATAAATGCTTCCCTGGCAAGCACAAGGGCCTGAGTTCAATTCCTGGTTCTGCCAAAGAGATAAATAAATAAATAAAACCTGCCAGAGCATGAAAAAAAAGAAAGTAACAAGAGACAAATCCCCAAGATTATAAATTTATATATTCTTATAAAAGTCCAAACATTGCAGATAAAACAGGCCTTAATTGCCACACCTTTCACAGAGATAATTCTGTTCTCAGGTGTGTCATAATTGTTATTCAGCATAATTACAAGTTAAGTATTGGTTTCTATTGCTGCATAACAAATTTTAAAAATTCAAAAAAAAATTCAGTGTGCTTAAAACAAATCATAAAAAATTTTTTAAAAACATCATAAGTTTAGAGCTGAAATAACACGAATTATCATCTCTTTTTTACTGTTTTTTTTTTTTTTTAAAGCAGGAATTGAACTCAGGACATTGTTCTTATGAGGCAGGTGTCATGCCACTGAGCTATATTCCCAATCTTCCTTCCTTTCTTTCCTTTTCTCTTACTTTTTTTTTTTTTTTTTTTTTTTTTTTTTTTTTTTTTTTTGTTTCTTTCTTTTATTGTTTCTTTTTTGTTTTTTGAGACAGACTCTTCAGCCTTCCTATCTCAAGCTTCCAAATTCTGGGATTACAGGCACGCACCATCATCCCTGGCCAGGGTCTACTATAAAGACAGGTAAACAACAGGCAGAGAGACACTGAGTCTAAAATAGTCAAGATGACCAGGCATTGATAAGCTAAGTGGGAGCCTGAGGTCAAGAATTAATAAGAACCAGATAGACAAGTCCAGAAATGTGGCAGGCAAAGTAAATGACAACTTGTGCTCCTACCTATCTAGAAAATGATTTTTCCTTCTCATTTTAATCTTTTAATAAACCACTTAGGAAAAAAAAAATAAACCACTTAGGTAGGAGAGAGGCCAAAATGCACATGCAGACATACACTTGCTACATGTCCTGACTCCTCATAGGCCCATTTCCAGTTTAAATAAGCTTATTTAGGTTGACCCTAGTTTAACTCAGAATCTCAGCTCTGATCATCTAGACAAAGAGTATTAAAAACTCCTAGACAGGGGCCAGGAAAATGGCTCAGTAGAATAAGTGCTTCCCTGGCAAGCACAAGGGTCTGAATTCAATCCCTAGTTCCACCAAAAAAAAAAAAAAAAAAAACCCTCCTAGACAAAGAGTTTCTATGGCTACTAGTATGGCTGCCACACAAAACCTCAGGTGGTCATAGGCGGGAAGTTTAGAAGGTAGCACAATTAGAGTGTGTGAATGTAGATTAAGGGTGTGGATAATGGAAGTCCCACTTGGGTGTTGCTGTCACCAATCAATAGGTTTGCAGTCTGGATGTAATATAAAGGGAGAGAGGGAAGGCAGGCTTGCTGCCGCTGCTTGCTGCTTTGCTGCCTTTGGCCTGCTTTGCCCTGGACCATTTCTCCTCTGCAACACCCCTCTACCATGCCAGCTTGCCTTGAAATCCAACTGCTATGAACTGAAACCTCCACAAATTGTGAACTACATAAATTTTTCCTCATTTAATTAATGAGTGTCAGGTATTTTGTCCAAGCAGTGAGAAAAGTAGGGAGCTACTCCTCTCTTCTTAAACACTCATCCTGTCTGTCCTCAACTTCATTCTTTGACTTAGTGCGACAGAGACCCAGGTTATGCAGCTATACCACTGGGCTAAAGTCAAGGTGCTGTGTGGGTCATCTGATGCTCTGAGCCTTTCCAAGCTCAGTGGTCATTGTCAGAATCCAATTACTTACATTTGGAGGACTAAGCTCCTTACATCATACTTGGTGGCTGTCACCCGAGTCTGTATCAGCTCTAAGAGCACCTGTCATTCCCTGAAACCTGGCAATTTACTCCTTCAAGGCAAACAGGACAGAATGTATCCTTTGCCCTGGCTTCAGGTCTCCCAGAGTTATATATTGGATCCCTGGACCCAGATTTAAAGGACTTAGAGCAGTGAGGCCAACTTAACCCAATTAACTCATTTGAGACCTCGATTACATTTTTCTTTTTTCTTTTATTTTAGGGAAGGGTCTACAGGATGTTCAGGCTCTCACTGCTAGATCAGACTTGTAGTGATCTGCCTGTTTACAGCCTCCCAAATGCTGGGATTACAGGCGTGTGACACCACGCCCAGTCTCAACTGCCCCCTCAGTGTGCCCCAGGGGTGGGGCCAGCATGGAAGGCCCAGGGACCAAACTGTGGCCTCTCTGCCTGCTTGTAGGTGCTTTAATCCGCTGAGCTACTTGGCCGGCCTTTTGATTACATTTTTCTATCCAATGTACTCTTGATACAGGGAAGTAAAACTGGTCCCGGGTGGGTGACCTCCAAACAATATAGGGAACCTCCAAATGACATAGAGAAAAACGATCTCTGGACCTGGCACGAGTTCATGTTCTCTAAAACCAAAGAATTAATTTTAGGAACAAACGGAGGTTATGAGCAGAATATATTTATTGAGAAAGAAAGCTCCTGTTCCTAGAGAGGGACAAGAGGGTGGCCCGAACCGGTAGTTCCCCCGGGAAGTTGTCTCTTGCAGGGACTTTTATAGAGGAAAACCATATGGTGAGGCGGGCCTAAGATGATGGAGAAGACATGGGAACTTGCTTAGTTGGGCATGAGGTGGGACAAAACTATGGTCAACCAATGAGATTACAAGCACCATTGCTCAGGTAAAACTGATTAAAGGGGCTGGGGAGATGGCTCATTGGAATAAGCGCTTCCCTGGTAAGCACAAGGGCCTGAGTTCAATCCCCGGTTCCACAAAAA